TAAATAAATAAATAAATGTAGGAAACACAGTCCAATGAAGCTATAGAGTTCCATCATGGAACATCAAAACTTCATTGAAATCTTTTTTTTCCAAGTTAGTTTACATAACCTAACATTTTAATGTAGTATTTTCAACCATAAGACAATAGTCCATGCTTTCCTTCCACCCACATACCAACAAGTCTTTCCATTCACTAACACACTCCCACCGTCCTGCCAACTCTTCTTGTCCATGACCACCACTGTAAACCTTGCACACATGAGACTCACAGGTAGCCCGTGGAGATGTCACGGACCTAAGCCTAGCTCCCACCACTGAGCTTTCAAATGAAACCCAGCTCCTTCTTAAGAGCTTTCAGTCCATCATTATCTGTGCACAGGAATTAATTAATTGATCTTTCTGTCTTCTGTTATCCCAACTAAAGTGGTTTTCTTCTGTTCCTCTCAAGTTCTGTCTCTCTGCTTAGTACCACTCTTTCTAGGAGCCTCACTGCCCCCATACAAGGTGGGTTACTTCAGCCTCTCCATAACCATAACCCCTATGCAAGTCTGCACCACTCAATATATAAGACCTCACAACCTGGGAAAACAGTCAACTCTCTATATTTGCAGATCCCATGTCCATAGCTTCTGAATCTATGGGTTCATCCAACCATGGACTGAAAATATTTGGAAAAAATTACTGTGTCTATAATTAAACATGGATAGAACTTTTCTTTTCATTATTCCCTAAACAATAAATGAAATAACAATTATGTGAATAGCATTTTACATTACATTAGGTAGCCTAAGTAATCGAAAGATGATTTAAAGCCAACAGGAGGATGTGTGTAGGCTCTATGCAAATACTAAGCCATTTAATAGAAGGGAACTGAGCATCCATGAATTTTGGTAGTTAAGAGGGATACTGCAACCAGTCCCCTATAGGTACCAAGGGACGACTGTATTTTTTATTCCAATTCATGTGTCAGTGCTCCAACTGGGACCAGACCCACCTCATGAACCTGCATATAGCCAGGTTGCAGCCTAGACTTGTCCACCCCCTATATACACCAAGGACTGCAGTCATGTTGCACTCTTTGTGGAGTCTCTTGTCCAAACTGCATACCACATCTGCATGGCTGACACATATACATACTTAAATGTCACCCTCAGGAAGGCCTCCCTGTTATGTCTAGGAAAGTTCCCTTTCTGTATACCCATGGTGCCTTTCCCATCTCTAGTCAATGTATGCCACTATGGCTCTTTACTAAAATGTCTGCCTTGCCCTTAACCTTGCCAGGCCTGAAGCACAGAAACAGTATTACAATCATTTGTATATCTTCTTTCTTTTTTTAAAAAAGATCCATTTTATTATTTATTTATGTGTATGTTTGTGGGTCTGTATGTATATATGTGCACATGTATATGTGTACCCAAGGAGGTCAAAAGAAGACATCAGATGCCATGGAGCTGGAGTTATAGGGAGTTGTGAACCACCTGATTTGGGTACTGGGACCTCAACTCCAGTCCTCTGAAAGAGCAGCAAGTGTACTCAATCACTGAGCCATCTCTCCAGTCCACATTTCTATATCTTTCATACTCAGCATAAGGCCCAGTTCCCAATGGGCCTTTAATAACATTTACTGTTAGAAAGATCACAGAAGGTTTGATATGTGAATTTCTTTCTTAAAGATTTACTTTTATTTTATGTGCATGAGTGTTTTGCCCATATGTATATATGTACACCATGTGTGTGCAATGCCAGCAGAAGCCAGAAGAGGGCATCAGATCCCCCAGAACTGGAGTTACAAGGGGTTATGAACTGCCATGTGGGTGCTGGGAACTAAACCTAGGTCCTCTGCAAAAGCAGTATGTACTCTTAACCACTAAGCCATTTCTCCAGCCCCAGATAACACAATTTTTGTTAAGATTTCCATGTCAAAAGGTACCTTCAAAGTCCTGTAGGATGTGACCTTCCTTAAAGGGTAGGGTCTGTTTCTGCTGCTGATCCAACATGCTGTGAACCGTAATGAATTCGTCATCAAGTGCTATGACATACGGGAAGCTAACAGCTGCCCCAATCACATTCTCTGACCAATGCACAGGAGCACGCTGGGAAATCCCTGCCACAGTAGCAAACATGCCTAGAAAAATAGGAAGAAATAGTTGAGTTGTCTTCAAATAACTATGGGGTATTCTTTGCCAAAGATGTGACTGGATGTAGATAAAATAACACCTCCAACCTAATTCTCATGCAGCCTTATATTAAAAAAATAATACAATACATTCAAATGCAAAAAAATACGTAGGGCCTTATCACTGTGAAGAGAATTACTGTATTCAGAATGTATATCACACCTGCTTCTATTTATAATTGAGATTTTTAAAAAATGTTTCATTTAACCTACATGCCCATCTATAAAGGACATTCCCTTAATATAGGAAAAAGAAAACAGTTTGGGGAATAGTGTAAGGTTTCTTCCCTATCCATTCCTTCACCTGGCTTGCGTCTCTTGTCTTAGCTCTTCCTCACACATCTGGTCAACACATTTACTGAGAACCTTCTATGTGCCAGGTGCTTAACTCAGTGTCAGAATTTCGCTATGTTCAGAGGTGAGGTCTCACCACTGATAATTGGTTTTATTCCTTTATCAGTATAAACTGTAAGAATGCATATATTCTATAATATACAGAACTGGTTTTTCGATTCAAGACAGTCTGTTGTGAAGCATTTGTCATTAATAACTGCTACATTGTGACAGTTAACCTATATTGTACATAAGGCACTAATATTAAGGGTTGCCAAAATGAACACTTTCAGCAAGTGGCATGAATCCGATTTAACTTTAACTTTTGAAAGCATCATGCTGTTGCTTGCAAATGATTAGAAGTCATTGCAGCAGACTAGTGATTTCTAGTACTAGAGGGTAGAGTGGGGCAGGGAGGCAGACACATTTGGACAAAAGAGGAGGGGCCAAAGGCTCCATAGTTTTAGGCCTCTGGCAAGGCAGCATATACTGGCAAGAGCATGAGGCAAGACAAAGCCATTCATCTCATAAGCCAGGAAGCAGAGGAAGGCCCAAGTCCCACAATTCTGCTCAAGATCTACCCTAGTGACCTAACAACTTTCTACTAGGCCCCATCTCCTAGAAGATTCACTGGTTCCCAAAAGCTACTCAAAGGACTAAATTTCTAACACAGGGACCCTCTGGGGGACACTCATTGTGATCATAGGAAACAGCAATGTCCAAGAATACAAAACAGCATCAGAAACTTGGGAGGGAGCAAAGCACAGCTATGAATGAACACCAAGATGTGGAGGCCAGGTGAAAGGGAGGAGACAGGACCAGCATAGCTGGCTCTGTGATACCACCTCCATCCAGGCATGTGGTAAATGCAAACTAAGAAAGGAGCAATTGTGGAGCCATCCCAGGGTTTCTGCTGAACTCCTGGTGGAACAGCAGAACACCATGACAACACAGATACCCACAACACTGCCAGTGAGTCACTACACTTACCTTCTTCAGGCTGGGAGAGTCTGTGGAGAGTAAGTGCAGAAGCCCTGACTAGTGTTTCTGACATGAAGAAACCAGAGGTCAAGCACAGAGGATTCTGCAGAAGTTTCACTTCAGTAAAGGAGCAGAGTGCCCTAATTGGCAGATGAGGTGGCCAGGTCAAGCCAGGGAAGTGCTTGCTCACCCCTTAGGAAGAGGGGTAATAACCAGACTGCTGCACGCACACCCCGACTAATATTATACTTGCTATGCAGGCAATGAAGTCTCTAGTTTTTACACTAAGGAAAGAGCCCAAGTGCTGTCGGTATGCAACATAAGGGATGGCACATCAACCTTTAAAACCACTCTTTTGACTGTTCCCCTTCTAAGTTTGAGCCCAACCCCTGATCTAATTCCTTAGTTGGAGAAGGACCCAAGTGACATAATGAGTAGTTGAATTATTTCCCTTGCTCAAGAAGCATCATTAGGGTTACAAAGTATTATAAAAATTTTGGCAAACTTGCCTTTAAAAAAGTCAAGAACAATTTCTTATGACAGGAGTGGTCACAAGTTATCCTCAGGGAGAGACAGAACACAAAATAAAAAGAGATAGGTTTCATCAGGACACCGCTCTGAGATAGTGTCTTCTAGGACAGGGAAGCCGCACCCTTGAAAGCTGAATAATATGGTTGCTTGAACAAGGGCTGCATCCTGACCACACCAGCCCACATACAAACATGGACGGAGGAAATTTCACAAGGCCCTACCCCTAGGTGAAGAGCTGAAGGTTCTGAGAGAGGGAAACTCTGTCTTTTCCAGTGTCCTACTCTGATAGGTTATCTAATCCCAAGTGGTCAGTCCTAAACACATGCACATACAAGCAACTCTAAATGGACTCAGGTTCTGTATATATAATATACATAAATGTGTATATCACATACTGATTTCATATATATATAACACTATAGAAGAGGTCATGAATGTGAGAGGGAGTTGGGGAAGGTAGGTGCTGGAGATAGAGGAATGGAAATGATGTAAATATAGTGTACTTATATAATTCCTGTATGAAATTCTCAAAATTGTTTTTTAGAAATAACTTTTGTACTTAAAGGTGCATTTATAGTCTTCATAGTCATTTGTTTGAGCCATCAATTTCTAGAGCCATGTAGTGAAGCTGGTGATTACTGTGCTGTTTGTACATTCTATAGATATATAGGGTATACATAAACGATCTTACTTACACTCTTTCGATTTGCTTATAATTCTATGTTACAAGGAGAATGATAAGTAGGCTGGTTCATTTAGCATGATATGCTCATGTAGCCGAGACAGAGTAAACATGGCAAATGAATCCAAAATATGACAGACTGTCCTTTCCCTTCACTCTAACACTATGACCAACAGAGGAATATGGGAATTCAATGTTGTTCCCAAGAAGCCTACATAACCACAGCAGTTAGGGATGGGCTAGAGGATAGAGAGAATGAAACAGGAAATCTAGACACACACCCAACAGTATCAGGAATTCAGCATATATTAAAGGTAGCCACCTAAACAAGTGAAGCACAGAAGGGCTCTTCAAGAGTTCGTGGGCATAATGGAAAGCCATATAAAAAACATACGACTGAATCTGTTCTTTGCATGGTAAGACATGCGACCATAAAAGTAGTATCAGAAAACACAGATGATTTTGTCTGTTAACCTGTCTATAGTTCCTAAATATAACTCAAAATCAAGTAATAAGTTAAAAGATTGATACATTAAACTATATAGAGCTATGTAAAAAATATTTTGTGTTCTGTATGAAATACACAAAAATTCAATAAAACATTTAACCCCCCCGCCAAAAAAAACCCAAAGTGAAAAGAAACATACATATTTAACTTTTCTTTGTATGTATGAATGCTTTACAAATGGGACCTATTACTTGGTTACTTCAAAAATACAGATGCTTTATTTGGGAGAATGATAAATTAAAGGCATGATTTCAATTTTTTTTACTTTCAGCTAGGACTTTTTATTGAGAAAATAATGATTTTTTTAATATTTTCTGTTGGAGCTAAAATACAGACTTCTTTAAAACAGATATTAGTTTTATCTGAGAATCAATGTGAAGTATTAAGACTTCTAAGATAACTTCTCCGGATTTTAAAAATGTTAAAAATCAGTTCTTGATCCTAATATAAATATGTCATTACTTACAGAATTTAATGAAAAAGTGACTACAAAAAATATTTTTGCCAGTCAAACGTTAGAAACAGGTATCTGAAACTTGGGTAGTGGGTAAGCTGGCATCTTGAATACATAAAGAATACTAAAGAATTCATAATAGATGATTTGGGATAAGGGGAGTTCAATGAGTGGTTCAATCCTCAGCACCTGAAAATAAAAAATTGAAAACATGCAGAATAGGCAATTCCTATTAATCTAAAGAAATGCAATAGACTCAAACATAAAGAATGGTCTATCTTGTTACTTGGGGAATGTGACAAGCTGGCAAAGACACAAAAGCTTGGCAGTGTACTCTATCGGCCAAGCTGGAGAGAAAGGCACTGCCATAAGTCACTGGAGAAAATATAAAACAGGACACTCATCTCCAAGGGCAAATACGGTAACACCAAGCAAAGTTCACATCTATTCGTGCTTTCACGCAGCAATTTCGCCTCTAGAAAGCCTTGCCATAAATTTGCTGGAAGACAAAGTAAAACAAAACACAAAATGTTAAGTCCCTATTACTAGCACAAAACTGGAGTAAACCCAAATGCCATGGAGTAAATCCATGGGCAACTGGCCAGATGGACCACGATACTGTCACAAAGCAGAACAGCATGCAACTATTAAAGGAGGGCTTTGCCATAGTAATGCATGCCTGTAGCTGAAGCTATCTGGGGAGCCTGAAACAGGAAGGTTGCTTGAACCACAGACTTCAAGGCCAGCCTGGGTAACACAAGGCCCTTGTCTCAAAAAAAAAGTGGCGGGGGGGTACATGCTGGAGAGATGGCTCAGTAGTTAAGAACACATACTGCTCCTGAAGAAGACCTGAGTTCAGTTCCCATGCTCACATCAAGGGGTTTACAACTGCTCATAACTCCAGCTCCAGGGGATCTGGTACCGTCTTCTGGACTCTGCAGGCACCTGTACTCCCAGGTGCACATATCCACACAGAGATACACATATATACACATAATTTAAAAAATAAAATAAACCTTAAAAAATTAAAAATCAAGGGGGCATATTTCCACTTGACACTACAAAGTAGCTGCCTTAACATGTCAACTTTAAAAAGCATGTGAAGAGGACACTATTTGGCCAAAAGAAAGAGGGAGATACACATATTTACATAGTTGTAAATTTTGTTCAAAAGTGAAAGGATAAACCTAAGAATTAAGGCAGCAACTAGACTAGTCCTCTTAGGATTATACCTTGAAGAATCCATTTGCCATGGATATTTGTAAATATTTATATAATGAAAAGTAAAACTAAGATGATTTTTTATAATCTGAAAGAAAAATGAAACAAACAATCCAACTGCTGATCCAGCTGGTGGCATAATCACACAGAGCAAAACTACTCTACATGGTTTTAAACACAATTATTTTTGATTCCTAACATCCTAAAGACAAAAAGAACCAGCAGCAATCAGGCTTTTTCCAGTCATCACATTGGATGTGTGGGCGGGGCAGTGCTGGTGCTGCTACTCTGCTCTGTACTGTGGGATCCATCACAGGAGCAATTACAGGAGGATGCAGAGGAGGGGAAACTTCAGTGAGGCTGAAAGGGAATACAAAGTATGGAAGGATGCATTCTGCCTACTCCATCTTATGATGGAGCTATCCTAAAAGTGTGGACTTCACAGCACTCAGGCCATGCTCTATAAACAGGACTCTGGAGAGGAATGGCTTGACACCAGATCTGGTATAAAAATACATAGAAAGTAAAGTTTTCAGATTTCTAGAGACACAGCCAAGTGGCTGGGGAATCTGCTGAGTAGCTCCCAGCAAGCACCACTGGAGCTCAGCGTATCATAGATGTTCAAAGGGGCCATGGATTTACAAGAAGACTTATTAAAGGCATTCCAGGAAAACAGAGAGACCTTACTGTCTCACCCGGACTTCATATAAAGTGCCTGGGAGATGATCAAGTGGTTGAGGAGGACAAAGTCTGCATTCTAGGTAATATGTGAGGGGGAAGAATGGATAGAAATACAATTTGCCTGTTGTCAGGCCTAATGATAGCACAGATCTAGGCAATTCACCAACAGCCATTATCATCACATGAAAGGAGAAAGGCATGTGTCCCCTGATAGAGTGCCACTGAGATGAGGTTTCTTGCTTCCCCCCAAAGCAAGCACATACATGCCTTAAATCTCTTAATTATCTACTTACAGGAAGCAGAGTCACAGGGGTCAAAGAGGCACACTGAACAATACTATGGGGCTAAAATTCTACCCAGTGGGAAACTATCCAATTTTTTTCAGCAAAATATTAAGGAAAAAATAAAAAGAGGAGGAAGAGTCTAAAGAAAAATGAAATTTAACAAATCTATCAACCAATTATAATGTATGAGCCCTGATTCAAAAAGTTGGGGGAAAACCTCAGAGATATTTAAACGTGTGTGTGTGTGTGTGTATGTGTGTGTGTGTGCGCATGTGTGTATTTGTGTACCTCTATTACATATGATAAAAGGAGGATATAGGAGAAATTTGATACGCCTAGATGGATTGATAGGAATGAACTACTGCTAACTTCTTGAGTCTTCAAAAGTATTGTGATTTTTCATTTGTATACATGTGTCTGTAACTTGGAAACATATTAAAACATTTACAGATGAAACACTACGTCTGAAGCTGCTTCAAAATAATCAGACTGAGGGAAAGGATGGGCAGATGAGCGAACCAACAGGGGCCACAGCTAGGTGAAGGACACACTGGGCTTGGCACGCATGCTCTTCATGATATATGTTTATATACGCTTTCTGTATGAAAAATTCTTCAGTTTTTGAGAAAAAGGGAGATTGGGATAAAGCATTCTTTTTCACTTTTTTTCTTCTATCAGGCCATGAACAGATATGGAGGAGTCTTGGATACATATATTATACATATTATACATATTGTTGAGTAAAAGAACCACTTTGAAGCCAGGCATGGTGGCGCACGCCTTTAATCCCAGCACCCGGGAGGCAGAGGCAGGAGGATCTCTGTGAGTTCAAGGCCAGCCTGGTCTACGTAGTGAGTTCTAGGACAGTTGGGACTGGTACTACGGGAGGCCCTGTCTCAAAAAGACCAAAAAAAAAAAAGAACCATTTTGAAAGGCTATAGCTTAAGCTCAAATTCTGCACAAGGTAAACTATGAAGACAGTTATGAGAGTTACAAGATTAGTGGTTACTAGATGGTGGAAGAGGGGGTTCAGAATAACCACAGTGAGTTCAGGGGACATTTAAGGCAGAGAAACCACTCTATATGATACTACAGCAGTGATTACAAATCAATGCACATTTGTTTAAACCTCTCAAATTCACATCTCTAAGAATGAACCCTAATGTGAACTTGACCTTTATGTACTGATGATGTGTTAATGAGGGTTCACTGCCTATAACTAATGTCCCACTCTGGTGGGAGATGGTGACCCTACATTCACAATTTGATGGAGTGTCAGCACACATTGGTCATGCAGGTCTGCCAGAGTCTGGTCACATGTCTCCAGTGCTGCCATACACTCACAAGTACAGTCATGTGCTTCATAACATCTTAGTCAATATGATGGTGAACTAGATGTGACTGAGGGTCCTATAGATTACGAGTCACCTAGTCATATAACTATCTCAGCTAACTGAAAGATAGGACAAAATCACCTAATGATTTATGCCTTAGAGCCCTGTCATTAAGTGACACCTGACTAAAGTTTCGCTGCTGAACCCTCACTCTCCCACTTGGGGTGTATCTAGGAACCCCAGGACAGCATGCAGGACACAGGTGCCATCAGTGCAGTCCTTCCTCACCCAGGCCTCCCGGACCAGCCAGTAGGAACTCTTGTCTGCCTATCCGCTTGACGATGGGCTGCTTCTCCTCACTACAGTAAGGAAACAGGTCTTGGGAGAGGCCTGTGCTGTAGTTCAGGATGATATACTGTGTGGTCAGGGCCAGGCACAAGAAGTGACCATCCACAGCCACAGCAAGAGGCTGCTCTGGAGTGGATACTTCCTTGACAATCTGTACGCGGTCCTCATACACCAGAAACATCTGAATGGTCCTGCGCTTCACAGAGATGATGCACACTTCCACACAAAAAGGGTCCCCATTCACGGGGTTCTCATTCAGTGCAAATGCTGTGGCCCCTTTGATACGGGCCCCTGAAGGGACTGGCTCTAGGTTCAGCATGTTGACCAGAGTTATGGAGTTGTCACAGAGCACCAGCAACCTATTGAGGGCTGAGGCTGCACACAGCTCGTTCACAGGCTTCTTGAAGCCCAGGTATCTGTGCAGCTGTTTGGTGGCAGTGAATGTAGCTGTCCCTGTAGGCAGAACCTTCTCCTCCAGCAGGAAGTGGTAGATAAAGCAGTCATTGGTGCCAACATAGAGGTTTCTGCCGCAGCACTCCACACATTTGATGCTGACATGCTCTTTGTCTCCCATTAGCAGCTCCCGTTCCACCACAGAGACCAAGGTGAAGGCCTTGATGTTCATCATGTCTACTGGGTGATCTGTGGGAAGGTAGATAGAAAGTTTTAGTCTTAGAGAAGGGAGTAAGGAGAAACATCAGTACAATAACGACGCTGATTCCCCACTTGTGATTTCAGCTAAAGATTCTGACACCATTAGAAAACGGAGAGAAAAGATTCGCCCACGACTTGCCTCACTAGGCAGCTGGGAACCCAGAGAAAGAGTACACACAGATGTGCTTAGGATTATGTGCCCATCCACTCACTCCCCACAGAGCTGGGAGTTAAGCAGAATTTCCCCATTGTTTAAGGCAGACACATGGCAGGTAAGGCACATCGCACACAATCATTGGTGGACAATGTAAGTAGGTATATTGCTAAAAAAGCGAAAACCGTCCTCATCAATCTTCCTTTAGCTTCTATGGCTACTTGCATTTGTGTTTAAGAGAACAGTAGGATGCAACTTCAAGACTCCTCCCAGTGAGGCACGTGTGCCCATCATAGCTCCCTGTCTGTCTCCAAGAATAACACGTTCATCATGAATAGCAAAGATGCGCCTCAAATCTCACATCTTTCATGTGGCACGAGGAGCTATTTGGTGGGTTTATGTGTGAGTCACTGCTGTGGCAGTTACTAGCAACCTCACTGGAAGAGAGGCCACTCTTCACCCTGGTCTCCTCTGACATGGACTTAACACAACACAACACAAAGTCAGAAGGTGCAGAATAACAAAACGGTTTCTCTTGGCTTCTCAGTGGCTAGAGGGACAGGAGATCAGCAGCTTCAGAGGGAACACCAGGACAGACAGAAGTGACAGACAGTAGTCAAGCTAGAGTAAGAAAGCTGCCTCTATCACTTCAAGCTGCCCAGAGAAGGAAAAGGGTCACCCCATGAGAGATTAAATTCCAGTTCTTTGACACGGTTCAGTAAAGGTTGGAAACCTCAGAAATAAATACCCAGAAAAGAGTTATTTCAGGGAAAGCAGGAAGTCAGATAGAACTTCGCAATTTCTTATATCTCTGGCCCAGGGGGCAGACTGCAAGAGACTGGTCCCTTCACTGAGTCAACAAACTCTCCAAGACGGAGGGCCTCCCAGGCCAGGGTTGATAAGGCCTACTTGTGGAACTAGCCAACCCTTCCTATCCATTCCCATCACCTGAATCAAAGTCCGAGCGTCTCCCCTCAGATTTAATCTCCAGGGCTGTGGTAGTGGGTGGTAAAACAGCTGGGGAGATGAGGACCTGTAGTGGTTTGAATAAGGAAGTCTCCAAAGCCTCCCAGTATTTGAATACTTGGCCCCAGCTGGTGGTGCTGTCTATGAAGGTTTAGGAGGTGTGGCCTAACTGGAGGAAGCATGTCCATGCCACTGGGTGCAAGCTTTGCCAGTTCATAGTCCTGTCCCATTTCCAGTTCCACGCCCTGCTTCCTGTGCCTGCCTGAAGATGTGTGTGCTGAGCTTTCTGCTCTGGCTGTCTCCTGCCGCCATGCTTTTCTAGCCATTATGGACTCTTCCTCTGGAACCGTAAGCCAAATCAACTCTTTCTTCTGTAAGTTGCCTTGGTCATGGTGATCTATCACAGCAACCAAAAGATAACTAATACAGGACCTGAGTGTGAAGACTTTAGAAATGGGATCAGTGCCCCTATCAAAGAGGCACAAGAGAGCTTGAGTGTCCCTACCACCCTGTGGCTAGAAGGTGCGTCTGTAAAGATGACCCTAACAGACACTGATGATGATCCTTTGATCTTAAGCTTACCACGCTCTGTAACTGTGAGCAATACGCTTGTTTCTATTGTTTGCAGATTACTCAGGGTATGGCACTGTTGTGGCAGTACAAAGAACCCTTGGTTTTTCTAGCCTCAGTTTCCACATTTATGAAATGAATGTAAAAATAAGAACTCCTGCTTCAGAGGATGGAAGTCTAAGTAAATCTTCTCAGGTAAGATATCTACCATCTGGTATACAGCACTCTAGTTGTTGATCTTACCATTAAGACTGATTTCTTCCCTGTCTTGATGAGCTCTACCACTCTCAACCCTGTAGTCTTTCTTTCACTCAGATACTGGTCTCTTACCCACCTCTGCCAAAGGACAGAGGGAAACACAAACAAGGACACAACACAGCATGCAGTGGTGTGTGCCTACAATCTCAGAGCTCAGGAGGCAGAGATGGAAGATTGCCACAAATTCAAGGCCAATCAGGGCTACATAGTAAGGGAGGGGCGAGGAGAGGAAGCAAAGGAAATAAAAGAAGGAAAGAAAAAGAGAGTGAGAATGGAAGGAAGGGAAAGAGAAGGAAAGAAGGACAGGAAGGAAGGAAGGGAGGGAGGGAGGAAAGGAGGGAGGGAGGGAGACAAGCAAAGGAAGAAGAGGAGAGGAAAAGGACGATAGGAGGGGAGGAGATGGAAAGAAGAAGGAAGAACCCACTAACTCCTGGCCTGGTGGTACAAGTCTCAGTCCCAACTGCTGGGGAAACTAAGGCAGGAGGACCACACATTCAAGGCCTGCCTAGGCTGAATGAAACCTCAGGGCCCCAGGGACAGTTGGAAGAAGAACCCCTAAAGGCCTCTGTAAGTAATGTCTGTCACAGACTTTCCTCTTTGGCTTTTTCTTCAAAACCACTATCTATTCCACAGGACCAAACAGAATTACCAGAACCTACCCGGACAACTTTTCCATTTGATCGTTAATGAGTAAAGCGCAGATATTGAAATGTAGGCTTGGAGACATCTCAGTAAAAGCTGAAGTAATACAAAGTACTTCTTTCCTTCATTGGTTGGTCAATCAGGACTGTCTTTTAAAATGGCAGGATAAAGTGATCCTGCCACTTAAAATATGAATTGTATCTTTTGCTTTTTGGAAAGAGTACAGAAACAGGCTTCAGGTACCCACAATCAAGCTCTTTTTATTCAACTTCTTAAAAGCATATTGTATATATAATTCTAGCTCAATTTTCTCTTAGCACAGAGACAAACTAAACACATTTGCAGTGAAGAATATCATATAAAGAATCAAATACTTCCTATTTGAATAGTGATGAAGGGGGATGGCAGGGATGGAGGGAGGGAGAGAAGAAACTGTAAGGAAAGCATGTGGCTTCTGAAAAAGTCATAATTCTATGACCTAAAAACAAATGCAATATTGTTTCACTACCTGCCACTAGTCACTTAAGTCTTGCTAATGGTAAATTTCCTAGTAGAGTTCTTTAAATAAAATAATCTAATGCTGCTTCCTTTTTTCTTCCTGTTGTTTGAGATAGGGTCTTCTATGGCCCAGGCTGGCCTTGAACTCCTAAACCTCCTGCTTCTATTTTCCAAGTGCTAGGATATTAGGTATGTGCCACCACATCTGGCTAAGAGACTGCTTTTGTAATTAAACAATAGTTCATAAAAAGAAAAATTAGGGGAAGGCAAATGAAAGATGACCACATAACTTAGAATGGTTTATCCTTTTAAGCAGCAGAAGTGTTCTCTCCAGGAGCTAGTTCACAAGATGAATTTATGTAGCTAAAACACAAATCACAAAAAAGGTAAATGGCAGGCTGCACCCCTGCATTATCCTTAAGTCCTTACTGGAGCTTGAATCAGAGGTTTTAACACAGAAATAAATGTTCTGAAGATACAGGACCCATCTCTATGGTATGGCTTGAACTTATCTAAAATTATCTAAATTTAGGGCTGGAGAGATGACTCAGTGGTTAACAGCACTAGCTGCTCTTGCAGAGGACCAAAAGAGAGAAAGGAAGGAAATAAGGAAGGAAGGACAAGAGAAAGAAGGGAAGAAAAAAGGAAAGAACAAAAGAGAGGAAGGGAGGAAGGAAGAAAGAGGGAGGACCACACAGTGGCTAATAATCATCCATAATTCCAGTTCCAGGATCTGACACCCTCTGGACTCCATGGGTATTGCACACATAGGTGTATTTACATACATGCAGGCAAAACACTCATACACATAAAATAAAAATGAGTAAATCAGGGGTTGGAGAGATGGCTCAGCAATTAAGATCATTGGCTGGTCTTGCAGAAGACCTGGGTTCAAATCCTAGCACCCACATGGCAGCTAACAACTGTCTGTAACTCCAGTTTCAGAGGACTGACACCCTTTTCTGTTCTCTATGGGTATTGCACAACATGGGTGCACTTACATACATGCAAGCATAACATATATAAAATAAAAATAAAAATTTTAAAATGAATAAATAAAAATTTAAATAAAATAACCTAACTTT